GGGTGGAACAGGGACTCGCGGCGGCGCGTGTGCGGGCTCTCGGGCAGGAAGGCCCAGCCTTCGCGGCCCGCCAGGTGCGGCAGCGAACAGGCCGCGGGGAGGCTGCGCCCGGCCGGGGACTCGGCGCCCCCGACGTCCGGGAGCCGAGGCGGGATGCAGAACTGCGGGATGCGATCGGGAGTGAGGACGTTGGGGCAGGCGCGCGCGGGCGGGCCCGGGGCTCGGCGCTTAGGGAGCAGGCTGGACGGCGCCCATCGGGGCCTGGACTCCGGGGGCCCCAGCCGGTAGCCGGCTTTCTCCAAGAGCCACATGCAGTGGGGTCCGAATTCCGCGAGACCGAGTAGGTGCAAATTCAGCGTTCCCGGTGGAGGCCTGTGGAGGACAGAAGAGGGCCGGAGGTGGGTGATACTGAGCACATACACCGGTTGGTCGACCACGGCGCACTCCACCCCCACCCCCGCGCCCGGTACACGGGCCCCTATCTGAGCAGGAAAAACAAGGGGGGCGGTGAAGCCTGGGGGCCTGGGGAGAAATGGAGGGCACTGGACAGTCACATTTTCAGACGCAGGCCTTTAGACACCCGCGATCTCAGACTCTGCCATCAGTGCTAAAGATGCTCACTCACTAAAGAGTTAGAAGGCCCAACACACCCACTAGAACTCCAGGCTACTATTCGGAGAATGGAGGAACATTCTCAAATTATCAAAAGGTCTGTAGTCACAAACTCGGACACGGATCCCAAACCCTCCTGGTACATCCTGCTCCCCTGAAGAGACGCAGAGGTCCTTGGCAGGCTCATCCCCTTCTCCCTGGCCCATCCCGAACTCAGACTCTCCTCCTAGGTCTTGTGTGGCGCCCCTCGGGCTGCCTTCGCCCGGACCTGGGAGCAAGGCTCTCCAGCCTGAGCCGTCCTTCGGCCCCAGCCCCCCTGCTTCCTCTTGCTCCTCCCTCTCTTTTCTGAGTGGCTCCCGGCCAGAAGCCCACTCGCTGCACAGCTGACTGCTGTCCTGGGAGCACCCAGGGCCGGTCCCAGGAGTCGCACCCCCGGGGGCGGGGGGTCACAGAATACCCTCCTCCCCCAGCCCTGGTTGTCCTGCTCCAGCCTCCCAGCCCCAAGGCATCCCGAGTCTGCAGGGCGGAGCGGCCGTTGGTCCGCCACTCCCACTCTCCACTCCTTCCCTCCCTAGGAAAACACTGAGCACAAAGGCCCTATTGATTCTCTGCCACCCCCAGAGCCGGCTCCCCGAGGATCCGCCGCCGCTCGCTCACCGCGCCCCCGCGCCCCACCCGCGGGACCGCGACGTTCCGAGCGTCCGCCGGCCTGGGAGTCCGAGCCCACAGCGGGCTCGGTCAGACGGCCACAGCGCAGGCCTCACCTGTGGGCTGCCGCTGGTTCCTGGCCTCCGGCTGGCTGGTGTGCAGAACCTGGAGGGGAGCAGCTTCCTCTCCAGCTTGCTCCCCCAGTCCAGTCGTTCAGGGAGGAGTTGGCAGGGGCCTCCGTTGCCTACGTCCGACCTCTTTTCCTGGATAAACAGAGCTCTGTCTCCACGGTCATCAGCCCAGCCTTAACTCCTTCCTCCAGGTTTCTAGCAGCAAGCCAGTCCTGGGTCCCAGCCTCCTCTGCTGGCCCACTAGGAGGGCTGCGGTGAAGAAAAAGGAGGTCATCAGTGGGCAGTGGCCTCCATCCCTCTGTGCTGCACGGGCTGCACCCTAGCCTTGCTAGCAGAAACCCATAGCCGTGGTCACACACACTGCATATTGTGCAAAGCCGTCCTTGCTGGAATCCTGCTTTGGCCCCCATTGTCCTAGTCTGGAGCCATCGCAATAGCTCTCAGACAGAGTGACTTGCAGTGACTAGTTCTCTGAACTACATGCCCCAAGGAAAAGTGATCAGGATCCAGATTTCTGGACATGGAGACACTGAGGACAGAGCTGGTTCTATCAGTGGGTCGAGCTCCGGCTGGCCTGTGTGCCTTGTCGTTGGCAGAAGGCTGTTCAACTGCAAAAGTGGAGGGTGCCTCTCCTCCCTTCCCCTCCCCTGCAAGCGGATCCTAGGAAGCACAGGCCGCCACTGGCAAGATCAGCCCCTCAGCTGCACCCACCATCCCTCAGTCTCTCAAAGACATCAGGCGCATTCTCTCCTTAGGATCTTTGCATAGGCTGTTTCCCCTCCTAGGATGACTCCCCACTTTCATCCTTCAGATCTGGAGGCCCTCCCTGACAACCTCCCATCTAAATAGGGGCTTCTGTTGTATGCTTTCCCAGCACCCCATACTTTTCCTTTCTGGCATTGGTCACAGGTTTTTTTCTTCTGTGATTTTTGTATGTGATTATTTATCTACTGTCTTAATTAGACTGTAAGTGTCATGAAGACAGTGCTTAGCACAAGGCAGGTGCTCAATCAGGATTTGTTGAATGAATTAATGACACTAAGCAGAATTATACCTGAATCAGTTTATTCATCCATTCACTGTGTAGGTGCTGGGGATATATAGAATGGGGAGCAGGCTAAGGGGAGAGACAGACAATAAACATTCAAACAACAACAGGATGCAGGAAACAAGATGGTTATTTTGACATCTGATACTTGAGAGTTTTAAAAGGGCATGTGTTTCTTTTTTTTTTAAAGATTTTTATCTTTATTTTTTGATAGAGACAGCGAGAGAGGGAACACAAGCAGGGGGAGTGGGAGAGGGAGAAGCAGGATTCCCGTGGAGCAGGGAGCCCAATGCGGGGCTCCATCGCGGGGCTCCATCCCAGGACCCTGGGATCATGACCTGAGCCGAAGGCAGGCACTTAACGACTGAGCCACCCAGGCACCCAAGAGCATGTGTTTCTTTTGTGGAGATCCCTGGTGACCTCAAACCCTCCAGTTCCGTGGCTCCTGACTCAGCTCAGCCCTGGTGTCCTTTCTGGGGAGGGTGGTCTGTGTGGAGTGCTGCAGCCAAGAACTCTAGGCTTTAGCATCAGTCAGATGGGTTGAGGATCCCTCTGCAATTTACTAGGGGTGTGATCTCTGGCACATAACTTAATCTCTCTGGGGTTCACCTTTCCCATCTGGAAGAGGGAGAGAACATACCTAACTCTCAGAGTTGGTATGAGGATTAAGTGAGATAACACATGGGCATCAGTTCAGCTCACTTCCGCTAAAAGCACAAGAAAACAGAAACCCCAATTCAATCTGGCTTGATGACGACATTTTTGGCTTTTATAATAAGAAGTCCAGAGGTAGGGTAGCATTCAGGGAAGTTTGATTCTGCGGCTTCATTCATTCATTCAGTTACAGACTACCTACTGTGTGCCAAGCACTGTGCTGGACTGGAGGATATAGCAGTGAGAAAACAGGTACATCTTCTAGCCAGGTGAAGTTGATACTTTAGTGGAGGAAGAAAGATAACAGACAAAAAAAATTAGCAAAAAAAGTACAGTTTATGAGAAGGAAATCAGTGTTGGGAAGAAAATAAAGTAGGGAAGGATCATAGAAGAGCACTCAGTTTTAAATGGGGTGGTCACGGATGGCCACATTGAGAAGGGAATATTTCAGTAATGACATGGAGAGAGGAAGGTTTTCTGAGGGAAAAGCATTCTAGGCAGAAGGAATCATCAATGAGCGGTGCTCAGCATGCCTGGAGTGTTCAAGGAGGCAAACTGATCAGCATAGCTGGAACAGAATGAGTGAAGGGGAGATGGAGTCAGAGGGATAATAAGGCCCGATGCTGTTGGGACTCGTAGGCACATAAAAGCTGTGACAATTTTAGCTTTTATTTGAGCCGAGGAGTGATATGACTTGCCATATATTAAAAGGGTTGCTCTGGTGAGAACAAAATGAAGGGGATAAGGGCATAATTAGAGAAATCAGATAGGAGACTATCAAAATAATCTTTGCACAAGATGATTGGGGCATAGATCAGGATTGTAGTAGTCAGTTTCTAGATCTGTTCTGAAGATCAAGTCAATAAATGGATCCATCCCCGTATAAAGAGAAAGAATGATCCAAGGTTTTTGGCCTGAGCAACTGGAAGAATGGAGTTACCATATGCTGAGAAGAGGAAAGATTAGGAGTTCAGTTTTGGGTCTATGAAGTTTGAGAAGCCTGCCAGACATCTAAATGGAGACATTGAGTAAGCAGTTGCATATATGAACCTGGAACTCAGAGGAAAGGTCCAGACTGGAAATGTAAGTGTGGGCACCAAGAGAAATGAAGATGGAATTTAAAGTCAAGAGACTTGATGAAGTGTAGGTAGAAAAGAGTAAGGATCCTGGGCTCAAGGTTCAAGACTGAGTCCTGGGCATGCCAACATTTTTTTGGAAGATGTTATTTATTTATGAGAGAGAGATAGAGAAAGAGATTGAGAGAACGAATGGGAGGAGGGGCAGAGGGAGAAGCAGACTCCCCGCTGAGCAAGGAGCCTGATGCAAGACTCGATCTGGCATCTGGGATCATGACTGAGCCACCCAGGCATTGGGCATCATTTAGAGGGGAGAGGAGGAGAACCAGCTGTGCCAGATGCTGTGGCAAGATCCAGTAAGGTGAGGACTGAGAATCGATCATTGGATTTAGCAATGCAAAGTCATTGGTGACTTTGCCAAGAGCAGTTTCGGTGCAGTGGTAGAAGCAAAAGCCTGGTTGGAGTGGGCTGCAGAAAGGTTAGGGGAAAGAGAGAGCAAAAAACCCAACAAACCTCTCTTGAAGAATTTGCTGAAAGAGCAGGGGCAGTGGGGTAGTGGCCAAGCGGGAAGTGGAATCAAGAGAGAAGTTTTTTTTTTTTTTTAATTTATTCATTTGAGAGAGAGAGAGCATGAGCAGGGGGAGTGGCAGGCAGAGGGAGAGGGAGAAGCAGACTTGCCTCTGAGCAGGGAGCCCAGGACCCTGGGATCATGACCTGAGCCAAAAGCGGATGCTTAACCAACTGAGCCACTCAGGTGCCCCCAGAGAGAAACTTTTAAATCACAGAAATAATGGTATGTTTGTATGCTGATGGGAAAGATTCCATAGGAAGGGGAAAATTGGTAATGTAGAAGAGACAAAGGAGAATTAATGCAGCAATATTCCTGAGTAGACACAAAGAATAGGTATTGCGCATGAGAAATCAATCTGGAGCTTGTCCTTTGCTTGCTGTGTGGACAGCTCACCCAGTTACTGGAGAGAAGGTAGAATAACTGAGTAGAGGTAGAAGGTGGAGGAGTGGGTGGTGGGAACTTGTTCCCTCTGAATGCTTCTAATTGCTCATGAAGCAGGATGCAAGGTTACCAGCTGAGAGTGATGATGGTTGGCGGAGGAGGTGACTCTAGGGCTTCAGTAGAAAGGACCAGGAAAGGAACAGTCACCCAGGAGGACAGGGGAAAGGCAAGGTGGCTGCTGGGCAGTATTGCAGGCTCGCCTAAAGGATAGCAGCCATGACTTTATGCTGAGACCAAACAGCGTGGTTGTGAGATTTTTCTCCAGCTGTGTTCATTTGTACAGATGCAGAGGGAAAATGGGCATAGATTTGGTTTAGGATTGTGCTCAGTCGTTGACAATTCCCTTTGGTCTGGCTCTCTTTCTCCTTCCATTTCCTTCTCTTGGTGGTTAAAATCAAGGGCCATAGAAGAGTGCACACCACCTGGGTCGGACAGCAGTGGGACTAAGAACTGGGTATAGATCATCCACAGCCTGACTGCATCAGTCAGGGTTTGGTGAGGAAAATAGCACCTGCTGGGCAGTTCAACAGAGGGAGTTTAACACGGGGAACTTGTTACAAAGGTGTTGAAAGAGCTAAAAAGGCAGATAGGTTGGTTAGGATGGTCTAGCAGGATCTGGAAGCGTGGAGACACAGCCATTACTTGAGTTGCCTTTCAAAGCAAGGAGAAGGGGCAAGCTACCCTAACTTCTTGCTACTTCCCACCTTCCAGTCTGCCACCAGGGCCTCTCAAAGACAGGTGACAAAGGAGCCTTGGGAAATGCAGGTTGTAGGCACTGGCCCTGCACAATCTAAGGCAGAGTACGGGAGGAGTAGGGGTCTGAGAGCCAGCAAGCAAATGACTGGCACACGGAGTGGCCACAAGTTGACTTAATGGGAACAAGAAGATATCAGACCTGGAAGGAACTTAGACATCACCTCACCTGTCCTTCCATTTGTATAGAGCAAGGAAAAGACCCAGAAAGCAATGACGTGCCAAACAGTAGCAGAGTTGAAGCTAGAAGTCAGATCTTTGATGTCAAGGAGCATTGTTTTTTACTTGGACCCTAGAGTTCTTTGGACTGGAGCAGACATGCTCCCTTGAATGGGGCCCGGAGCACCGCCTCTTCACCATCACTGCCACTCCTGGAGAGTGTCACATGTGACCCGAGGCCCTGATCTCCTTCTTCCTGCTGGTGCCACCGTAGAGGGACGCCTGGAGGACTGGGCATTACCGAAATCATCTGGGTTCAAGCCTGATGAAGACTCAGGCAGGGCACAGGACTTTCCTCCAAGTAGGCAGGCAACTGCTCTAAGACTCCCTGGGCTTTTGGGTCTCACTAAGCTGTCTTTCCATGGCTTTGAGCATGGCCTAATAGCATGATTTGCTACAATGCTCACTGTGGGCACTGGCAGGTGATGGGGTTGGTGGTATACTGTGACTTACAGCTCTGGCTCCTTACGTGAGACCTTTGATGAATGACTTAGTTCTGCAGTTCCAGGAAGGCCTTCGGGGCCCTTTCTTTAAGAGCTGGTATGAGCTACCAGAGTTTCCTGCCTTCTTGAATTGGTTATTCTTACACTTGCATTATTCACTTTGGTTCTCTTGACACTTGACTCAGGAACCTGGAGAAAACATATCCTCTGCTTTTTTTGTTTGTTTGTTTTTAAGATTTATTTATTTGACAGAGAGAGAGAGAGAGTACAAGCAGGGACAGCAGGAGAGGGAGAAGCAGGCTCCCTGCTGAGCAGGGAGCTCAATGTGGGCTTGATCCCAGGACCCTGGGATCATGACCTGAGCCGAAGGTAGATGCTTAAATTACTGAGCCACCCAGGGGCCCCTATCCTCTGCTTTAAGCAGAATAAACTGCCACATTTGCCTGAATGACTAGTTGGATTCCACTCCATCTACCTTTACAGTAGTTGCATTCCAGATGAATTTTTTTTTAAGTGTGCAGGCAGCAACTCCCCGTTTCTGCCTAGAAAGCTGTAAGACTTGACCTCCTGGAGAGGAGAGGCATTTATCAAAGCCCTAGAGCCTAGGGAAGTGTTCCAGCAGCTGATAACCTTATTTCCCTTACCAATATCCCTGCCTGTCCTCCTGGCCTTAGCCAGTCAAGGCTGACATTCCCAGCCCTGCTGTGGGGTCTTGCCTGAGAGCTTCCCACCTCTCTAGATTTCCACCCTGTGCCAGGATGGGGGCCCCAGCTCCTGGAACCTCAGTCTCATCCTGAACTTGAATTCTTCACTTCCCAGGATAAGGGTTTGGATATGGACTCTTCCTTCCTCCGCCCATCCTCCTCTCAAACGGAGACAGTGGTTGCCAGCTACGCACCAAACCCTTTTCCCTTTCTTCCCCATGTAGCTAGACCATATTTTCCAACCAACCTCCCTTTGTTGATTAGTGGGGCCTCATGACTGAGTTCTAGTCAATGGAAATACTTGGAGGCTTGGTCCCAAACACCTCTCTTGTGATTGTCTCTTCTCTCATCTGGCAACTGGATATCAACATCCAGGATGATTTTGGAAGTCATGTGTTAAAGATGGCAGAGCTTTTGTCAGCCAGATTCCTGAGTGACTCCTAGATACCAACAACTGGACTTTATGTCTCTTCTATTTAAAATATGGGTTACACTGGGCCCCTGGGTGGCTCAGTTGGTTGGGCGACTGCCTTTGGCTCAGGTCATGATCCTGGAGTCCCTGGATCGAGTCCCGCATTGGGCTCCCTGCTCGGCGGGGAGCCTGCTTCTCTCTCTGGCCCTCCCCCCTCTCATGCTCTCTCTCTCTATCTCATTCTCTCTCTCAAATAAATAAATAAAATCTTAAAAAAAAATATGGGTTACACTTCAGAGATGTAAAGGTTTACCTGTCTCAGTATTTGGCTTTACCACATCTAATAATAAAATCCTTTGTGATATGTCCCCTTGGAGTTCTCATTCTTTGGTAACACTTCTCAAGTCCTTGGACCTCTTCCTGGGCATCCTCTGCACCCACTTAGTTTTGATGGCATCCTGCCTGTCCCTGAGGCAGCTGCTCAGTTTCCCACTTCTCTCCTCTGCTCAGAGGAGCCTCTGGCTTCTCCCAGATGATGACTGCCTCCTCCAGTCTCTATTCTTCTCCTTCATGTCAGACCAGTCCTCCTCAAAAATGTGCGCTAGCCATGTTCTTTTTTCTCCTTTACCACAGTCTCCTTGCCTGACTTAGCGCCATCATCCTGTAGTCCTGCTAGCTGGCTCATGCCCTCCCCTCACCCCAGGTCAGTATACTCCAGACCCCCGTTTTCCACCAGCGGTTGGGCCTTCTGCATGCCTCGGCCCACATGTACCGGGTCGGTTTGTTCTGATCCCCCAGTGGCCTATGGCAATCATTGCCCTTCTTCCAGACCTCTCTCCCCACTGAGGGCCTTGCCTCCTGTTTCACTGAGGGTGCTGAAGTCCTCTGGCATGAATCCCCTCAACCTGCCATCCTGCTATGCACTCCCCCTTCTACTCCTTCCTTTTTTGGTATCAGAGTCGCTGCTGCTGTCTCCAGCGGTGCTCTTGATCCATCTCTGAGACCAGATAGCTGTTCTGCTGGATGACACCTCTCTCCCTGCTAGAGTTTCAGCCTCTCTCCACTGGCTCCTTCCAAAGCAATTTATAAATATAGTCAACCCTCTTTCCTTAAATAACATCATCAATAACAACAACATTCCTAGAAAGAATCATCTAGATTCACTTTGTCAGTCCCATCCATTTTTTCATTCACCATAATCTGGATTTTGCTCCCACCCGGCAAAGAAGACCCTCACCTTCCTCATTGCCAAAGGCCAAGGCCTGTTTTTAGTCCCCATCTGTCTTGCCTTCTTTTTAACATTTGACACTGCTGACCTCTCCCTCTTCAGAATAGTCACTCCTGTCCTATCCTTGGTCTCTGGTGGCTTTTGTCCTTTGCCCAACTGCAAGTTCTATCTATGACCCCTTCCCTAGCCTTCATTTTCCCCCCTTCCCCTCCTTTCACTCTATACTTCCCTCCCAGGGGTTCCATGTCCGTTTTTACATCGATGATTTACAGACTGAGGCAGTTGTTCATCTGTCTCAAGCTCCAGACCACAATATCCAGGCTCCTGCTGGTGCTCACCATGTGGCTGAAGTACCATGGGCACTTCAAGCTCAGTGCGTGGGAAATGAAGCTTTTTATTCACCCCCACCTCAAACCTGCTTCTCTGCACTCCTGGTAATGCCACCTGCAATTCCTAGGCCAGAAGCCTGGAGGCATCCTGGAAGACTCTTCACAAATCCAATACCTATAATTAGTGGCAAAGTCCCACGCTCTTTTGTTTGTAACATGTTCCATCTTTCATCTTCAAAGCTCTGACCCATGGCAGGCCCTTACTATCTTTAGCTGGGGGCCGTGCAGGGGTCTCCTAACCAGGGGTCCCACCTTCAGGCTTGCTGACCCTCCCTTTACTGCCACCAGAGTCATCTTTCTAAGAAACAAAACTTTATGTCACCGCCCCCCCCCCAGCCTATACCCTTTAAAGTCTTTCCTCACTGTGTGCTTGGTGCCTCACCCAGGGCCCGGCACCTGCAGGTGCTCAGAAGATCTCTTGGCGCTGGCTGGGGAAGTGGGTGTGTGGGAGGTGCTGTGAGGATTCTGATTTCCTACTACAGAAGGGTCTTAGCCTGAGAATGAGGCCACGAATCTATTTATTCAGAGGAACGCGCCCTCTCCTTCCCGTCACCAGTCACTTCTTGTGGACCCTCCCTGCCGTGCAGTGGGTCCCAAGCGGGCAGGGCAGTCAGCAGGAAGGCACAGTGACTGTTACTGGAATGACTCCTCTTCCAGCTGCAGCTGCAGGAAAACACCTGCAGAGAAGAGGACAAACTGAGTGTCAGGAGCTGGTTGGGGTGCTCTGCGCATTTGCATCCTGTCACCTGGTGCCCAATCCTGTCCTTGTGGAACAGGTTGGGCCACTCCTACATAGAAAAGAATCCTAGCAGGGTGCTCCTTCATTGGAGTCTACAGCAGGTGCCCGGTCCCACTCTAAAAAGCTGGATCCCAGCTTGGGAGCACATCAGCATTCTTCCTTCCATTGGTCCTGAGGGTGATGGTGGCAGGACAGAGTCTGGCGCTGAGGCTGAGAACCTCTTTACCTGAGCACTTAGCATAGACTGTCTGCTGGTCCCTGCTCTGGGCGATGCACGACATGTAAAGCTTCTGGTCCTCGATCTTTTCCACGTCAACTTTCAGTACAGCCAGAGAGCCCACAGGGATCAAGCTGGAAGAGGAGGTGGCTTAGTCCATCCCTCATATGAATCCCTGGCCGCCATCCCTTCACCCCTCTGTTTCCCCAGCCTTCTCTTCATCCCACTCTGCCTCAAGGAATAAGTGACTCAGGGCTCGCGGCCCACTTGCAGACTTCCAGAGTCTGATGGCAGAGGCTGTGCTCTGGCCGGGAGTAGAAGATCAGCTGAGCAGCGGCTTGGGAAGGAGGGTGGCAGACAGGGCTCCCGCACCCAACCCCTGAGCATGGCCACTCCTCAGTGATAAAAAGGGCATGACTTTGGCCAACGCCCCAAGGATCCATACTTACTTTTTGAACCTGATGTTGAGGCTTACTGTGAATAGCCCCTCTCCAGCCAGGTAAGCAGTTTTAGAGAAGGTCTCGTCCATCATGGCAGCCAGGGACCCCCCATGTGCAAACCTGGGGGTGGGGTGGGCAGGAACAAGGCCAGGGCTGCAAGCTTCCCCGCCACCCACCCTGATCCTGATGCGGAGCCATCCTGCCTCTATCTTTCTACAGGAGAAGAAAGGAAGCAGAGCAGGATCCCAGCTGATCAAACTGGTCCAAGTCACTTCAGCTTTTCTCCCATGTTGCTTCAGCAGCATGAGCAACGCCTGACATAATTATTTTATTTCGTCAGGAAAAATATGAGGTTTTTTTTTTTCTTTTCTGATAAAGTTAATGGAAAGGGGTGCCTGGGTGGCTCAGATGGTTAAGCGTCTGCCTTCTGCTCAGGTCATGATCCCAGGGTCCTCGGATCAAGCCCCATGTCGGGCTCCCGGCTCAGCGGGGAGCCTGCTTCTCCCTCTGCCTCTCCTCCTGCTCATGCTCTCTCTCCCTGTATTTGTGTGTCTGGAATGAATAAATAAAATCTTTAAAAAAAAAAGTTAATGGAAAAACATTTTTTTTCTGATTCATCACCTAATTGCTGGCAGCAATTGCCATCATTTGGAAAGGTGCGCTCATACAAGGGACGGAAAAGCCCCTGTGCTTTTCGGCTTGGGCTCTGAGGCATGGCCTTGGGCCAGCTCCCACCTTACCCATCACTACACCAGGGCCAAGCTAGCATGGATTACCCTCTTGTTCCCACCACCAGGAGGGGAAAGAGCTGGGAGCCATGGAACCACACCAACCTGGTTCGACTCCATGCTCCACCTCTCACTACCAGTCTGATCTTGAGCAAGTTGCTAAGTTGCTGAGTTGTTAAGTTGCTGAGTTGTTAAGTTGCTAAGCTTTTCTGAGCCTAAGTTTTTCCACTATGAATTCTGAATAAAAATAATTCCTATTTCGGGCGCCTGGGTGGCTCAGTTGGTTGGGCGACTGCCTTCGGCTCAGGTCATGATCCTGGAGTCCCGGGATCGAGTCCCACATCGGGCTCCCTGCTCAGCGGGGAGTCTGCTTCTCCCTCTGACCCTCCTCTCTCTCATGCTCTCTGTCTCTCATTCTCTCTCTCTCAAATAAATAAATAAAATCTTAAAAATAATTCCTATTTCATCAGATTACATGAGGTAATATTTATAAAACCCCCTACTTCCACATGGCTTGAAAGAGGGAAGAAGAAGTTGGTGCCAAAGAACCCCAAACCTGCTCTTCCCTTGTTATCCTAATTGGCCAGACAGGGGACCCATTGGCAAGTGTGTGGATTCTGCAGGATAGCTCTTGATCAGCCAGCAACCTATTCTTCCTCATTGCCTAGGTGGATACTTGTGACAAAATAGAAAATATATATTGGTCTCTGGCCTGGATTCAACACAGTGCTGTTGAAATCCTCGTCATTTCCTGGGTGATGGGAGTGTCTTGTTCTACTGAGGTGACTCTGGGCGGGCTCCTGAATGGCTCCTGGATGGAGCCCCAGAAAGACGAAGCCATGATTAGAAGCTCCTAGAGAAAGAAGAAGGGCTGGAAATGGAGTATATGATGGTTCATGCCTGCGTGAGGAAGCTTCCATAAAATTCCAAAGGTATAGGGTTCAGAGAGCTTCCAGGCTGGCAAACACAGGCCCAGTGGGAGGGTGATGCACTCTGACCCCACAGGGACAGAAACGCCTGCGTGTGCTTGGGATACTCCCAGACCTCGCTGTATGCATGTCTTCATCTGGCTGTTCTTCTGTATCCTTTATCATATCCTTTAATAAACTGGTAAATATAAGTGTTTCCTTGAGTTCTGGAAGCCTCTCTAGCAAAGTAATTGAACATCAGGAGGGGTTTCTGAGAACCTCTGATTTGCAACTGTAGGGGCCAAGGCAAGCTGTCCCAAGATGGGCCACTCTGGCGTGAATATTATTTTGAGCTGAAGGCAATCGAGACCCTGTGGGCTCAAGAGAAACTTTTGCCCCTCCCTTCACTTACATAGAAGAATTTAAATTGGGGGTCTTTCCCAGAATAAAGGTTATCACCAGAGAAAAATTTTACCTGAGTGACCCATCTGTATGGCAGGGCAAGCAGCTAATTACCAAACATCTGCTCTTCTTCTTATTGCCCTGTGAAGTGCATTCCTTCCCTTCAAAGTCCCAGACCCCTGTCCCCTGCTCCTTAGTTCAGGATGACATGTAGTCTTCATTTTGCCTGTCTTTAGAATTTCCGTGTCTGTGTGGATTGCCTGTATGTACACTATTAAATTTGACTTTCTCCTGTTAATCTGTCTCATGTCAATTTGATTCTTAGTCCAGCTGGAAGGACCCTTGAAGGGGACAGGAAATTCTTGCTTCCTGACATAGCCAAGTCAGACAGAAGTTGTGGGAACCTGGTGGCCTGCTACTTGCTCTTGGCATCTGAAGTGGGGTCAGGCTCGTGGACTGAGCCCTTACCCTGTGGGATCTGATGCTGTCTCCAGGTACATGGTGTCAGCATGGAGTTAAATTGTAGGACACCCAGCTGGTGTCACAGAATTGCCTCATGTAGGGAGAAGCCTCTCCCCATTTGGTGATCGGAACTATCAGAAGTAAAGGTCCTGTATGAGTAGTAAAGGAGACACATAGGAGAGAAAGACATAGTAGTTGAGAACCGGTTTTTTATCCCTACACAGTAGACTGGACTGGGTATTTCTTTTTCTTTTCTTTTTTTTTTTTTTTTTTAAGATTTTATTTATTTATTTGAGAGAGAGAGAGAATGAGAGAGAGAGAGCACATGAGAGGAGGGAGGGTCAGAGGGAGAAGCAGACTCCCTCCTGAGCAGGGAGCCTGATGCGGGACTTGATCCCGGGACTCCAGGATCATGACCTGAGCCGAAGGCAGTCACTAACCAACTGAGCCACCCAGGCACCCCTGAACTGGGTATTTCTTTCTGTTCAGTATGAATCTCTTCTCTGAACCCCTCAACCCACTGGCTTCAGTGTTGGATGGTCCTCCTCTGCCTCTCCTGCCCCACTTCCATGAGCCCCTAAATAAAAATCAGCTACACTTCACCCCCCATCCCTGCCTTCTGGTGTTTTCCTCTTCAGAATGAAGGGCATTCCTGACCTGTGTAGGGCTCTGACCTAGTCCCCCAGCAGCTGATGCATCAGTGGGAAAATCATTGTCCTCACCGAAGATGCCTTTGGGATGGCCAAGGTGACCAAGGGCTGCAGTCTGAATCCATGGCCTGTGGAGGTGCTGACATCTATTAAGATCTCTGAATTTAACTGCAACTGAGTCCCTCCCAGGCGTTGGGACCCTAAAGCTGCCCCCCACCCTTCTGTCTCCCTTGTAGGAACTTTGGCACCACCAATAGCCTTCAGTGACTGTCTAAAGAAGGAACGGGGATGCAGGAGAAGGCAGACGACCATGGACTTGGTGGCCCAGTGGCCTTGGGCAAGAGGCTCAAGGCCAGCTTGCTCTCCCTTGTGGAATTTACCTAGTGTGAGTTCCTTCCTGGGCCTATCCCAAGTTTGAAGGCAGCAGAGTATAATGGAGAGATCAATGGATTGGAGTCCCAGGTCCTGGATTAGAGACCTGATCTGACTTGGTTGTGTGTACTACTGTGCTACCTTACCTCTGTGTGCTTCAGTTTGCCCCTGGGCAAAAGATGAAGTCTGGAAATATGGTGTCTGAGAGCTATATTGTGCCATATGATTTGTGAGTACATACACATAGTTCCAGGCATTCTGGCAGTCGGATATTATTGCCTCAGGTTTCAGGTAAGAAGGCTGAAGGCCAGAGGTTAAACTGCTTGCTTAGGGTCCCAAGGCCAGCAAGGCAGAGCAGGACTGAAAGCCTGGCTCCAGATCTTGTCCTCTTCCAAGTTCACAACACCTTTCTCAAAGTGGCCTCTAAGACCACCGTCTTATTGGAAAAATTTCAGACCTCCCTAAGGAGGCTCTCCTTATCTGCACAATGGGGACTGGACCAGATGACCCAGAGTGCCCTTCCAGTGCCCTGGTGTTGAGACAGAAGTCCAGTGCTCACCACCCCACCTAGCTCCTTAGGGAGAGGTACAGACTCCGGGGCCCAGTGTGTGGCTCATCCATCAGCTGAGCCAAGCCCAGAAAGCAGCCAAGAACATCCACCCAGGCCCTGCCTGTGGCTTACCCTGGGGCCCCCTCCAGGTAGGGGCCAGGTTGGAAAAGACAGATGGACTTCTTCTTGGATGGGTGGAAAAAAATGACATACTCGTAGCCTTGTCCTTCCACTTGGATGCACCTGGTGAAGATGCGCCAGTCACTTTTGTCTAGGGCGAGATGGGCAGTGTCGTAGCTGGAGAAGGGGGTGCATGAGTGCGGGGGGCCCGGTCACGATGCAGGGCCGGTCATTCAGCACCATGGGTAGAGCCCTGCCTTAGGCACAGGGTCCAGGAGAGAACCAGAGGACACCCAGCCTCTGCCCTCAGGGAGCGTTCAATCTGAGACTGGAGACACAGCCCTCTCCTCAGGGACCCCTCAGTCTGGAGGGAGAAATACTCAAGGAAGTTCCCTGGCTGAGGGGTAGAGATAGGCTCATGGCCAGATCAAGACTTTAACAGACCTTAAACATGGGAAATTAAAACTATACCATGTAATTCACATATAATTCAAAATAAAAACAGTACTGAACAGTAAAATCGGGATGCTTGGCTGACGCAGTTGGTAGAGCATGTGACTCTTGATCTTGGGGTTGTGAGTTTGAGCCCCCTATTGGGTGTAGAGATTACTTAAAAATAAAATCTTAAAAAAAAACACCACAGTAAAATAAGTGCAGGAAAGTCCACCAAAGTCCTGATTTTTGCCCCCAAAACAACTACTACAACTACATCCTTTTTTGATGGATATCAAATATTTTGAAAAAAATTATTTTGGTGACCCTGCTTTGTGGCATAAACACAAAGGCCATCTGCCTACTGCACCACCCATTCATCAGTGGGCAGGAAAACCACATATATAAATGAGAGAGACAAGAAAACAGGGATGTGCATGTACACAGGCACACACACGCATCTACACACATGAAGAAAGCTGAAGGTGGAAAGTTCTATCCATCTGATCTGGTGGGTGTCTGGGGAGACTGGCTGTGGACCCAGTAGAGCAGGGATAGTGTGCCAAGGCCTGCAGTGGGGGAGGCAGGCCCTAGGGCCTTTACTGGGTAGAGAGGAGGACTTGGGATAAGGCTTGACAGTATGGAAGAACACCCAGCGAGAAGGCAGAGGGCAGGGGGCTGAGGGGCTGTGCTCAGGGGGTGGCTCTTGGCTGGGAGCAAAGGCCGACACTGGGTTGTGTTCTCTTGGATGGGAGGAGGGAAGCAGAGATCAGAGAGAATACTCTTCTCTTCTCCTCTACCTGCCTGGGGCTGCATCATCAGAGGTGGGTCAGACACAGAAAGACCTTCCAGCTGAGAACTGGAAGGGAGCTTGTGGATCTCCTTCCCAAGGGTCAGGAGAGTCAGCACAGTGAAAGAGACTGGCTGAACCCACCCGGTGGGCTGGGGAGCAGGTATGCCCAGAGGCCTTCCCAGGCCAGGCCCTACCTGAGGCCACTGCTAACCCAGATGGGAGCTTCAGCCCCTGGATGTGGTCTCTGTTGGACTTGAAGGAGGGCAGTTTGATCCAGCCGTCAGTCTTGGTCTTCTCCAGAAATTCCTGGTACAAGTTCAGCATGTCTGGACACCAGCTGGCATTGGGAAGGGCATAATCCTTCAAATCTGTCTTCTTCAGACAGAATCTTGAGACCTGGGAGGGAAAAATCGAGGAGATTAAACAGCTTCCTGGGGGATGGGGGCTGCTGTTTGGGCTGTGGGACCTCTAGGTGGTTTGCTCCTGGGTTCTTGGCTCCTCAAGCCCTTCCACCAGTGTTGACTTACAGGAAGCGGCCCATTTTCCTTGCAGAGGGCTAGGAGACACCTAAGGGTAACTGACAAGGGGACGCTAAGGTGCAAAGGAAGGAAAAAAAAGGAACCAGGGCTGACAAGTAGAGGCATACTGCTCTGTGGTGTGCCTTACCACTGTCCTGTTTAAAAACCCGTGAGCTGTTCTTTGAAGCTAAGAACTGGTAGTCTAAGCCCCACTGTACAGATGGGGAAACTGAGGAAATATGGCTAAGGTTGCCAAGCTTGTGAGTATAAGAGCTGATGATCAGACTAGAGCCTGTCCTCAGACACTGTCCACCCTAGGGGGTGCGACCAGTGGTGGAGGACCATGGCTACCACCTCCTTACCTCAGGGGCTATCCCTGTTCTGTCTACAACTGTGGGCCTGCCCTGGAAAAGTGGCTCCTTTGAAACATGTTTCGAGTGCCCATAGAAGTGTGAAACTATCTGTGGGAAAAGCGAGCCCTCTGAGGCATCAAGCACTCATGGACCAGTAACAACTGTGGGCAGTAGGCTGGCTGCTCACCAAACCTCACACAGGACCATCCATCTGGAAATGCCCCAACTCAGTTGCAACGGTCTGAGTTCCACAGGAAGAAAGTGACTCATCGGTGGCCACACGAGTTTCAGACCAGGACGAAAGTGTCCTGGTGGTCTTAGTTTTGGATCTGGGCTCCTTAGTCTCCTTTCCCTTCCCTTCCCCTTCCGTTCTTTTCCTTTCCTTTCCTTCCTTCTCTTTCTGCCTGCTTGCTTTTCCTTCCTTCCTTCCTTTCCTTCCTTCCTTCCTTCCTTCCTTTCCTCCCTTCCCTTCCCATTCTTCCTTCTCTTTCTGCCTGCTTTTCTTTCTTTCCTCCTTCCTTTCTTTCTTGCTTTCTTTCTCTATCTCCCTCTTTCTTTTTCTTCCTTCCTTCCTTCCTTCGTTTTTCTTCCTTCCTCCCTTCCTATCTTTAGGCCCCACATGGGGCTTGAACTCACAACCCTGAAATCAAGAGTCACATGCTCTACCAGCTAAGCCAGCCAGGAGCCCCTTGATCTGGGTTACTTGATATCCTAAGAGCACCTTCCCTTTGCCAAATCAAATAGCTCCCCAACACACTGCCCACTTGCCCCAGCCATCATCTGGGAAGAGGAAATTTGGGGTGCTCCTATGCCTTAGGCCCCCAGGAGAAGGGCTGCCTACCTGGCTGAGCTGGGAACTTACTGACCAGGGAGTCCGTGGAGGATCCGAATGCTGAGTTGGGGTTGAGTCTGGGCAGGACCTGGGGGACGCCAGGAAGGACTCTGTGCCGGCCAAGTCTTACTGCCACCTGGAAGCATCTCCTTATCATGGCTGGGTTCTGAGGTTGGGGCTGGTAGGACTGAGAAGGTAGCAAAGCGAGTGAGTGCTTTTTGGATGTACCTTGGTGCTGCGGGGGCGGCCACCTCTGGCACAAACCTCTCTCCTTTTTGTCACCAGGCCTTCAGCAGCAAGCTGCCTCAGCAGATGATTAGGCAAGGCTGGACTGGTTTGACACAACACCCACAGATGTTTGGAGCCTTTAGCTGGTCCCAAGCCCCACCCAGCGCTCAGGGAGAAGTAGATGCTGCTTGGGCATGAATGCTGAACAGGACTGGCCTGAGTCCAGAAAGAAACATTTGTTAAAGAGAAAAAAGTGCATAAAGAAATAGCATATGGTACATGGGGCCTTGGAGAGCTGCCCTGGAGTGTTTGGGGGGCAATCCAAGAACATTCCAAGAAAATTCCCCGAAACGTAAGGGAGGTCTGTCTCTTGATTGGAGAGTGTTGGTGGAGTGTCTGTGTGTGTTGGTGGAGACTTTGTGGTGCGTGCTCTGCAGCAAGACCATATAAGACCTCTGTCTGGTATGGTCCTGGCACCCAGAAAACCAACTCACCGCCCTTAGCTACCCCTTCTTATATCCCAGACAAGGGGTCACACAGAGAAGCCTCCACCTGCTGGGCCCTGGAGGGGATACTGGTGAGAAGGAGAAGGTCTTAGAGGCAGAGACAGAAAATCATTTGGGAGCAGTCAGCTTAGCAAAGGTGCTCTCAGGCTTTGGGAACCCCAGGGAAGGGGATGGGTGCTGGGGGTGAGGTGGGGAGCTGGGCAGTGGAGGCCTTGTCACTGGAAGTCTGCAAGAGAGATAGCTTTCAGTGGAAAGAGGGGAGGAGCGTTCAGCTAGTGTCTGCAAGGCTGTGGGCTTTTTTGGTGGTGGTTATTTCTTCTATTGAATTAAAACTGCCAGTTTTCAACTAGAAGTCCTAGTTTTTAATTGACTGGAGAAAAGCATGTTGTGAAAGTCAGAACCGTGCAAAGGTGGAATTATGATAATGATGGTGGTGGTGGTGGTGATTTGGGGCAGTTTCTGAAAAATCAAACTGACTTAATAGGGAAGTTTACAGGTTTTGCCCCACTTTCTGTATTTGGCTGCCCTGGAAGACTAGAATAGAAATATTTTCCTCATGTCCTGTGAAGATTTGAATGAAGTTTCTTCAAGGACAGGGAAACCGGGTTTTTGATTGATTCAGTCTCTGGATCTAGCCAAAACTATTCGAATTCTTTGCTAACATTTAAAAAACAGGGAGTGTCACACAAAGCCGGTCAAAGACCTCCGGATGAGGAAGAAGATCTGGCAGCAGGGCACGTCCGTTCCTGTGCAGTGGCAGCTGCCTGGGGCCACACCTCATGCCCTCTGGCTTGTCCCAGGCTTCCCCCGGTACCTGGCACCCCTTCATTCCCTTGCAGTCTCTATCTGTGCTACTTGATGGAAAAGATGGGACTTGAGGAGGAGACGAGAGAGAAAAGAAGAATCTCAGAAAGGACTGGAGAGGAATCTGAGGAAACGGGAGTAGGGAGAAGGAGGGGCTCCATAGGAGCCTGATCCCAGGAAGGTGGCACTCGCTGTCCTGATTCCAAGAAGAATCAGTACCTGAATCTGATCATTGACCAAGAGCCACGTGGGAGTTGGGTTATCATCCTTGCACAGCCTGACTTCCCTTGCAGATTGTGTACCCCAGTGGGATCAGCATCTCTTGTTGCCTGATTAGAAGAGGAACACTCTTTTTTTTTTTAATTTTATTTTATCAAGTTATGTTAATCACCATACATTACATCATCAGTTTTTGATGTAGTGATCCACGATTCATTGTTTGCGTATAACACCCAATGCTCCATTCAATACATGCCCTCCTTAATACTGGGCTAACCCATCCCCCAACCCCCCTCCCCTCTAACACACTCAGTTTGTTTCTCAGAGTCCGTAGTCTGTCATGGTTCATCTCTCCCTCCGATTTCCCCCCCTTCATTTTTCCCTTCCTTCTCCTAATGTCCTCCATGCTATTCCTTATGT